AGTGAGAGGATCATATTAAGCAGATGTACTTGGTCTCCTTTGAGTGACTGCTCGTTTTGGCAAGGTGTTAACATATTTTGTTTCATTTTCCTGAAGGGGAACTGCAATTTCAAAAGTTTGGGAAATACTGCAGTAAAGTAAATACTAATTTATTATGCAGACATACTAGCATAATAGCTAATCTCCTGAGACCAATGCAGCAACAGTAGCACTACACATGCCATTGTGTCCCAATGTTAATTCAAAATTAAACCATTCTTAGGAACTCTCTTTCAAATTCTGCTATTCAGTCTTCTCAGGTGCATGAAAATGTTCAGTGTATCATTACTTATTTGAAGCACCTCTGCATTGATTACTATTAAATATCTTCTGATGTTGCAAAGATGTAGTAATAATCCATGTATGCAATGCAATAAATAAATGGTAGGAATCAGATTGTGGAAAAAGGTGATGTACTTTGCTGGTGCTCCTGTGCTGTTTTCCTGGCGTTAATAAGGCTAGCTGGAGTTTTTGTTTTTCGGAGGGTTAAAAAGTACTAATTTATACCATAAACTCATGGTGAAATTATGGTGCCATTGTAGTCAATGGGAGTTTGCCACTGATTTCTCAGGATTTCACCCATATAACCTTCAAAACAGACATTCTGTATATAGCGTTTATTATTATATATTGTATATGTAATACATTCTCATTATTATTGTATGTAACTAAAATTAGTTATTTTGTTTTCCTAGAAATGTTGTGGAAAATGTTATTGTCAGGTTAGAATTCACATTCAAACTTCAGATTGGATCAAATTTTCTTGGCCAAGTTGTAAGCCGTAGAAAGTACATTTCATGATGGAAACTCTGAGAAGACTGTAATTATATTTGTTCTAATGTGAGTGCTACTGCACAGCCATTTTCCAGATTGCAACATAACTTAGAAAACTGATGTGCTGAAGAATAACTCCCCACTCTCTCTGAACTTGTTAAAATGCAAGTAAACTAGTATATCAGGACTTTTTACTCTTTTAAATTTCATCAGATTTAACAGTTGTTAAATTCTGTATCCTCAAAATTAGTCTTGAATAGTGTTTTAATTTTCTGTTAAATCAAAGCAAATTCAATTTGGGATTAGTGCCTACATGCCATGAAGAAGTGTGCTTTAAAAATGCCCAACATAGCTAGAATTACAGTTCTTTCTGTGTCTGCTCTTGAACCTGTGTATTCTAGGAATTGCAGAACATAAACCACCCTCTGATGCTTTCAGCACTAAACTTGAGAGTGCTGGCATTTTTCAAGCTGCCAGCCAGCTGACTTCTTAGAAATGTTTTGTTTAAAGAGGAGCTGAGATACAGAGTACTGTATCCATTTAAACTCGGGGAGAACATTGGTAGCTAAAAGATGCACATAGAGATGCCACATTGGGAAATGAATTTAAAAATTCTTTACACCTACATGGGAATTTTAGGGAGACAATGAATTCCCTGAGATGGAATTTTACTTTGACACCCAGGAAAACAGTAGATAAATTTCAAAAAGTGCCATTAGTTTTTTACAGATAAATGGTTAAGATCTTGGTTTTCTTTATCTTTGAAATAGGTTACGTCTAGCAGGAAAATGGCCCCTGTTGCCAAGGCATTAATCATTGATTTGAATTACTATAATTACTTACATCACTTTATTCAGCAACTGAATTATTTCATCAATTATTGCCTAAACTTGGTTCTCCTTAGCTCTTGAGACTTGGCAATCCAAAATGTTAATTAAAACCAGTGTAAAAAGATACTGCATATTCTTTGTAAATATTTTTCGAATGTTGTCTTAATCTGTGGGTTCCAAAGTAAAGCCTTGCTGTCTGCAAAATTAATTTTGCTGAAATGTGGTGAGAAAAATTTGATATTCCACAGCTCCTCTTCACTAAAAGGTCAATCTAAATTTGTGGTATGTTCAAATTAAAAATAAACAACCCTCCTGAGCTGACTTGTATGCACAGCTTTATTTTCCAACAGCTCCAAGGACAACGAGGAGTCTTGTGGCACCTTAAAGTCTAACAGTTTTATTTGGATATAAGCTTTCATGGGTAAAAACCACTTTGTCAGATGAATATTATGCCCAAATAAATCTGTTAGTCTTTAAGGTTTCACAGGACTCATTGTTTTTGTAGATACTGGCTAACACGGCTACCCCTCTAAGACTTGGTTCCAAGTAGTTAGCTGGTATGTGCTGGTAGAGCAGTAACTTGTTAAAAGGATACATTCTGAATCAGGTTCTGAGTTTAGTGGTCTCATGCTATTATCATTTTTTAATATCATATATTGTACTTTTTTTTGGCAGTCTCTGTTCAGGAGAGGCTCATAAGTTGAATACCTGGGTATGTTGCACTTCTCTTGATATGTGATTCATCAAAGTGAGGATATTTGTTGAAAAAGTGAGAGCATGATGTTTTCAATCCATTGCCCGTGGACCCTTGGAGGTCTGCAGAGTGTGTCTAAGATTTCTAACAGGTCCTATACCTCCATCTGAAAATTTTTAGGGGCTTGCAAATGGCAAAAAGGTTGAAAATCATTGCCTTACACAAAATTACAGGCGAAGCAGTGACCCACAAATTTCAATGCACAGAGAAGTGCAGGGAAGATTGCGTTGCCTCTGATATACAAATAATGTTTTGGCTCTCACAAAGCAATTTGCCAAACACATGCATGCACACATAGAAGCTCAGTGTTTTAGTAAAATAAACCAGTATTCAAGATTTAGAAATAGTGGCAACTGAGTCAGCTACCAGAATATGAGGAAAAGAGTTTGTTTATGGAGTAAAGGAAAAGTGTTAGTTTCAGTCTAGAAAGCAGCTTTACTGAGCACTGTTTAAAATATAGAAAGCTGGGGATCTTGAAAATAAGATTTATAATTGAAATGGTATGCTATATAGACTCTGGCATTGACTGCTATAATAGGAAGTAAAAAATAAAATGTAGAATTATTGACAGACCTATTTTCCTGTCTCTTTAACTCAGTTTTGGAGATTATTGTTGTGAGTGACTTGTTCATTGCTCTGGATAAACTCTTATGAGGCAATGTGAGTAATGACAGTTGATCAGATGTAAGCAGAATTGTAATTTAATTTCCATTTAATTATTGTTCTAGAGTCTGACCGAAAAGCTGCTGAAGAAAGAACTTGATTACACCCAGTTAGAAGAAAAGCATTATGAAGAATCAATGAGTAAAAAAAACATGCAGGCAAGCCTTCATCAAAAGGATCTGGACCTGGAACAACTTCGCGCAAGACTATCTGCATCTGAAGCCTCATTGCAGAGGTTACAGACAGAACTGGGTGAGAAGGGGGAAGCAAACCACAAACTCAAGGAAGAATTGTCAGAAATAGAGACAAAGTATCAGCATCTCAAGGCAGAGTTTAAACAGCAACAACAGCAGAGGGAGGAAAAAGAGCAACATAGCCTTCAACTGCAGAGTGAGCTCAATCAGGTGTGGTTCCTTCAACAACATTGTATTTTCATTCATGTTCATCTCAGTACTACACTTTTCTCTCTACATGCGTATAGCTCTAATACAGAGTGTCTGTAATCTCTACAGTTAACATCTCTGGGTACTACTTCCTCATGTTTGTAAAAGTTTTGCAAGGATATAAATAACAAGGAACAGGTAATATTATTTCTGCTGGCTCACGGTAGAGTAAGTTGTAATGGGCTGGAGTTGCACAAAAGAAAAGTTTGATTGAATATCATGGAAATTGTCCTAGTTTTAAAGCTTATTAGGCTGTAGTGTAGTACAGAAGAAGTAGCAAACACCACATTGTTTGGTCCCTTAAAAAATGAACTAATCAGTGACTGTATAACGGAGAAAGAACTCTTCATGATCAGAAGAACAACATGAAGTTCTAATAGTGTTTTTTTCAGTTTTCTAATTTCTGGTTGTGTGTTGACCCTTTTTATTGGAATGCATATAGTGAACAGTCCTGTAGTCCTTTCACATGCTAAATCCTATGGAGTATAATGAGAGTTATTGCCACAGAACTGTGGCATTGACCCACTATTATTCAGTGTTCAATTAAAGTTAACTTTGAGGTACAGTTTTGTTTGATCTTTGTTTTGTTGGGTGCCTCTGTGTTTGCAGTATGTGAAATCAGGGAGATGTTTATTTCAAGAATCACAATCCTTAAATAAGAAATCTGTGGGTCAGTCCAGCTTGGTTTACTTGACTTTTAGACTCTGTGCTTCTACTGCTTTCCCTTTATCATAAAGTAATTTAAATAAGTATATTGGCTTAATGCCCACCCAAAAGCCTGTAATAAATTACATCGTAACCTATCCATGCATATTTTCTGCTGGATTCTCCTGTGGCTTGGCAAGAATCCAGGTTTAATAAAAAAATAAAATAAAAAAAAAAAGCTGATGCTTGAAGATGTGAAGAATTTTGACATTTCATCCATATGCTTAGGAATGCTGAATGGTGACATTGTGCCCATCTTCCTAGACCACAAAGAATGCACATTTTGGAGGCTCAACCCACTGGCAGAGTTCAGTTGGAAACTGGTTTCAGACTAAGAAGGCATGTTCTGGTTCAGTAGGGTTTGTGTTTGTGAAAGGCTTTTTGGTGGGGAAAAAACTTGGATGGCTTAATACATTTCTAGAAAAGGAAGTATAGATGACACAAATCCTCCTGTGAATATCATCAGAAGGGAACTCAGCCCAAAAAACCTGCCTGAAAGGGAATCACTGAGGTTCCCAAGATTCTGTTTAGACCAGTGGTCCCCAACGGTGGATATGCTGCAGCTCGGGACCCAGCCCAACCTGGTCCCACTCCTGGCTGCGATCCCAGCTGCAGCTCTGTCACCAGCCCCAACCCTGACTGTTGCCCTGCTTCTGGCCATGGCTCTATGCCCAGAACTGAGCATGGCCCCAAATGAAGCACTGGCCCTGCTCCTGGCAGCAGCCCTGCTCCAGGCTGCAATTCCACTCCAGGCCCAACTGCAGTTCCTAGCTACGGCCCTCCTGCTGGCCCTGCCTACACTCTGCATCTCTGGTTCCAGACCACAACTTTTGGGGATGGTGCTTACAAGTTAGGGGGGAGTAGCATGAGTGAAAAAAATTAGGGACCGATGATTTAAAGTCTGGAGGGAGGACTTCAGAGTGGATTGAAAGATTCTGAGTTTTGTAATCTAGTGACTGGTAACTCCTAGTTTCTTTATTTTTCAGTTCCCATATGTTCCTTATAGTTGTTCACTTAGTAGTTTTAGCTCATTGTTTTGAATACTGGAAAGAGGTTGACAGTTATCTTTTTTTGCCTCTGATTGGAGATTACCTTTGGAAGGCTATAGCCTACTTAGCTGTGTGTACACTGCAGTTAACCACCTGCAGCTGACTCATGACAACTGATTTGAGTTGCCCAGGCTTGGGCTAATGAGCTGTTTAATTGTGGTGTAGATCATAGAATCATAGAACACTAGAACTGGAAGGGTCCTTGAGAGGTAGGGTTGCCAGGTAGACCCCACTAAAAAACCGGACATGCTTGTCCGGGGGGTGGGGAGGGGGAAAGAACCGGCCGAGAGAGGGGCGGGAAGCAGAGCTGGGGGGCA